CACACAGTGCAAGCAGAAATGGGGTGATGTCTACTTCTTGTAGTATCTCCTCACAGGCATCTACTGCTGTCAGCAAATCCTGGGAGGTCACGCTCTGTGCTTGCTGCAAGCTTCGGAACAGCCCTGATGGAAGTGGAAGGGGCCATGAGGCTCAAGCTCTGGAATGGCCTCTCCAGTCCCCACCAGTAATTCCTGTATCTTCCCCAGTTCCCCACTTCTCCCTCCCACAGCCCTCCTACTCACCACGGACATAGCACCGCTGTGCATGCTCCTGCAGCAGGGCACAATGGTTAGCTGCCTCCTTGTACCGGGGCTCCATCCAGGCTGAGGTTGGAGAGGGGTGGTCAAGGAACTGAGTTCTAGGAAGGGGAGGGAAAATGGGAGTTTGACCAACTCCTGTAAGTGATACCTCAGACTCGTTAGCCATCCACACTCCAATGGATCATCTATAGACACATGCCAAGTGGATTCATGACCTAGCAAGTTCAATGGGTTTTCTGAGGGAAACCAAGTAAGGAGCCAGCAGGATGTGGCAGCAACTTTCCTGCCCATGCCCTTTAGTATGTTCTTACTTCTTGGCTGGGAGCCATGGCTGGGGGAGGACACAGGTCAACACTGAAGGCACTAACCGGAAGATGAGGTCTCGGGGCGCCTGTGGAGGCTGCATGCCAACCATCTGCTCCCTCAGTGCTTCCAGTGAACAGCTGTAGATGTAGACAGGACACCGGGTCCGGGGCCCATCTGCACTATCTGTCTGGGAAGGCTGACGCCCCGTGTAAGGCTGTAAGTCTCGACGGAAGGGTGGGCTTAGCTCTCCTTGATTCTGGGCGTTGTCTGTAAAGAAAAGGTATCACGTGGTCTTCCAGCCCTGTTTCCTACTCCCACTCCTGCCCACCTTGAGTCGGCAGCCTCACCACAAGCCAGGGTTACACTGAGGACAGGGACTTGGGACTTTGTTGCTTTGACCCCAGTTTCTCCTAGATCTTTCAGACTGGAAGCCCCACTCCAATCCCCAAACTTAGGCTTTGTCTCCTCTTGAAGGGGTCCCTCCAGGCCACAGGCAGCCAGACGCTGGACATCTGAAGAGGAAGAGATATAAATCAGTGCTGCCTGGTTGGCCAGTGCGGGAGCTCAGGGGTTTATATCTGAGAGGGTTCATGAGGAGGTCAGCAGCTGGCACCTGAGAAGGTAGCTGGGAGAAAAGTCAGAAACACATGTTGGGGGTTGACAAGCCTTGCATAGCAGCGCCACTGAGGGGGCTGCGCAGAGATGAGAGGCTTGAGAGATTCAAGAAGACCTACACTCTGTAAGAGAGAAAAATAAATTAATTAGAGCAATCTATAAGGGAATGTCCAACCCCTGTTCCCCTCCTCCACCCTAGAGCTGACTCATCTTAGGTATAGCTTCAAAGATCCAGGATAATGAAAAAAGATGGCATTCTGTCACTGGCAGATGCCACTTAGTCTCAAAGGCGCTAGAAGGTTGGGGCCTGCAGATGTGGTGCTGGAAGGAGGTCAGTGTGACAAGGGTTCAGGGAAAAGAATCAGTGCTGACCAGGGAAGTAAAAGCTGAGTCTCCTGTGGCCTGGGTGATGCCGACTGCTTGTTCTTTCAGGATCCCATGAACCCCCAGCAGTGGCCCCTCTGCACCTACAATGGGGGTAGAAATGGGTGAAAGAGGGTAGGGCCAGCAGAGAGATGGGACTCTGAGTTGAGGAAAGGAGGAGGAAGGGGAAGGCCAAAACTTAAGAACAGAAATTGCCCTGTGAGGGTGGGGGAAAAGGGCTGGGCCAGGGTCTGGTGTCAGAAACATGTGGGAAACTCACCTGGAATGTGGCAGGTCCGCTGCAGCATCTCACTCAAGAAGGCAGCCTGGTCAACAGGGGTCAGTGGGATCTCCCGGTCACTCAGCTCCTGCCCCAGGCAGCTGTGCAGCAGGCACAGCACCATGTCGTTGGCGGGACAGGACCCCTCGGCGAGAGGGACACCCTCTGGCTCTGCCCGACACACACTCTGCTCAGCACCAAGAGCCTCCTGCTGCCCAGTGCCCCTGGCTCAGCCCTGACCAGCAAGGCCCCTCCTTCAGCCTCATGTGCTCCTCCTGCCCCCACCAGTCATCTGCTCTCTTGCTGACCCATCTGTTTGCTGTTTTCTAATACTCCCAGGCTTGCTGGCCCTTTAGGTATAGGGTAAAAGGGTACAAAGTTCACCTACCTCTGGAAAGCAAAAGGAAGAACATCTGGAGCTGCTGGCACTGTGGCAGCAATCCCATCAGGTCAAAATGGAAAGGGATCTCATGGACACAGGTGTCTCCTCCCTGATCCAATCCTATGAAGGAGGAAAGACAGGAAACAGTGAGACCCAGATTACCCTACCCACTCCCCTGCTCCACCAGTGTGCCGCCTGCCCCACTCACCATCAGAGATCCTTGGCTCTTGGGGCAGAGGGCCCCATTCCTTGCTCTGGCACAGCTGTATCAGGTATTCAAAGCTCAGCATGGAGCCTATGCAGGCAGCATCCCGTGGGTGGAGCTACAGGGAGGAACATCAGAGGTCCGGAGTCAACCCCTTTGAGCCCAGGATACCCTGGGCTCCAGCTCTCCAGGAAGCCCCCAGTCCCAGACATTCAGAGGGACTGGCAAGCCCACAGGCTGTGGAACTCCAAAGGAGATGGCACCCTAACTTAGTGAGAGAGGTGGGGGTATACTGTTCTGAGGACACTCACAGCTTGTGGGATCTCAGAATATGTCAGGTCCTGGAGGTGCTTCCAGCTTCCAGGGCCAGGTCCCACTCGCCCATACTGTGGCTCCACCCACACCTCAGTGACCAGATTGAGCTCTGAGTCTCCCTCCAGAGCCTCCACTTCCACATCATTGTCATCATCTGTTGAGAAGCTAAAGGAGGAAGGGCTGTGAGTCCAATGCACAGCCTCATGGCAGGGAGTGAACCTCATGGAGGGAAGGAGGCAGGCACAGAGGACAGCTACAAGTCACACAAGGACTTCCCAGACCAGTGTCAGCCTGATGAGTCATCTAAACACTGAACCCCCTCCCTGACTTTGGACTCAAGATCATCTCAGGATATGGGAGCCAGACCTCTAGCGGATGGTGGGGAGAAGGGTCACTCTGCAGAGGGAGCTACCATGGAGAGCCAATCTCACCTGTCTTTGGTGGAGGTAGAGTGTGGGGGAAAGAGGATGTACTGGACAACACAGGTGTGTTTCTCTTCAGCTGCAGCCTGCCCTGGTGGTTCATTCTGTGGGCAAAATGGGAGATCTTGGGCAAATCCCAGCCAATGCAGAGATCTGGCCTAGCCTAGCTCTGGCCTCAGAACTTTGGTTCCCTCAACACATTGTCCTATGACTGCAGCCTAAGACCTTACATCCTCTGGCCACATGGTCCCTGTGAGGCAGAGTTTGCAGCAGTTCCAACCCGGCTCAGAGGCGAGTGTCCCTGGGATTATGACAGACCTTGGCAGGGAGGTGTCATGAGGGATGGCACATACCTGAATTGGAAGTTCCAGAACCATGTTGATGATTCCTTCTCCGCTGCAGGCGAAGTGGAATCCTTCAGAAAGTCGGACCCTGAAGCCCCATAAAGACAGGGGGAAGGCCAGGATAAGATGAAGGAAGAAGAGACACTGAGACTACAGGCTCTCCCCCCACACACCCACCTCCCAGTAATCCTCAAGGAGCCAAGTCCACTGGTAGCCCTGCTCAGACTGGCGGTCCCTCAGGGTATAACAAGTCCAATGAGGATGAGAGAGGCCAAAACAAGTTGGGGTATGGGAGGAGACAGGGAAGGCAGTAGCAGGTGCTGCTCTATACTTGAGACTGGGAATTAGAGAGGGAAAATGTGTGCTAGAGGGTTTCTGCTAGTGCCCCAGTCTACACTTGCTCTCTCCTTGCCCCAAGTGGCCTAGCAGGTTTGGATGACATACTCAGTGAGAATGGAGAGAAGGTGGGCAATGGCGCTGAGAGGTAGTGCAGGGGCCAGTCCTGATGGGACACTCCAAAGCCAGCGCTGATGGTAGAGGTAGCGGGACAGCGACGCCAGGCTAGAAGAGGCTGAGCGGCCTGACACCAAAGGCAGTGGGCCTGGTGGCTCCAGTGTCAGCAAGAAGGGTGCCCGATAGTCCAAGGGTAGCTTCTCATACCTAGGAAATGGGACAGTGATCTCTATTCATCCCCCACTAAGCTATACCCTTCCACATCTCTGTACTACTCATCCCTGCTAAGCCACACCCTCCACACCTCTGCACCACTCAACCAGGTCAAAGCCACAACCTCCACACCTCTGTACCACTCATCCAGGGCAAAGCCACAACCTCCACACCTCTGTACCACGGATCCCTGCTAAGCCACACCCTCTATACCTCTGTATCATCCCCCCCCCCCCCCCCCGCTAAGGCACGCCCTCCTGCACCTCTGTACACTCATTCCCACTAAGCCCCGCCCTCCCGCACCTCTGTACACTCATTCCCACTAAGTCCCGCCCTCTGCACCTCTGTAACACTCATCCGCAGCTAAGCCATGCCTTCCACACTTCTGTACTGCTCATCACTGGCTAAGCCACGCCCTTCCACACCTCTGTACTGCTCATTCCTGGCTAAACCACGCCCTTCCACACCTCTGTGCTGCTCATCACTGGCTAAGCCACGCCCTTCCACACCTCTGTACTGCTCATTCCTGGCTAAGCCACGCCCTTCCACTCCTCTGTGCTGCTCATCCCTGGCTAAGCCACGCCCTTCCACACCTCTGTACTGCTCATTCCCGGCTAAGCCACACCCTCCCACAGCTCTGTACCACTCATCCCTGGCTAAGCCAAGCCCTTCCACAACTCTGTACCAACCTGATTAGCAGTTTGTCCAGTGGCTTATGCAGGACCACAAGGCAGGGCCGGTCAGACAGGGTCTGCTGTGGCCCCAGCACAGGAGGTGACTTGGAGGGAGAGCTGCCCCCACCAATGCCCCCCAGCCCCTTTCGTTTCACCTTGGGTGTTGGCTCCTTGCTTTGCACCCGGTGGGGGAAACGCAGGCGCAGGATCTCTTCCCTCAAGCCTGACACAATCTGAGGGGAAAATGTGATCAGATCCTCCTACTCCCATCTCCTACAGGCCTGGGAGAAGGGGCCCACAGACAAGGTGAGAGAGCCCTCTTCTCCAAATCTTCCTTGGTCTGGGGGCTCCTCCCTCTACTAGACCTGGCCCTGTGGGGAGGGGGAGCTAGTCTACACCGCAGGGCTCCTTGGTCAGAGTCAGTCAGGGCCCAGCTCACCTTGTGCCGGGCCGGTGCTGGAGTGCCAATGGGAAAACCCAAGCGAAGAACCATGCATGGGGCTTTGGAAATGATACGAACCATGTAGAAGGAGGAGGGGGGCTGGTCTGGGGCACTGGAGAGAAACGGGAGTCAGTGAGTAGTTGGCAGGAAGTAGGAGTGAGGTCTGGGGTTAGAGGGAGAACGTGGGATAAGGTGGCGGGGCGGGGCGGGGGGGTAAGGGAATATCACTTTCCCCACCTGGAAAGCAGCTTGACATAAGAGTAGCCCTCGACTAGCACGAAGCTGCTCCAGTCCCGAAGCAGAGAGGTCAGGGAGGAGTGGGAGATCCTGCACTGGATAGTGCTGTAGCGCCCATTGCTGCCCGGGGTATGCAAGTGCTTGGGTATTGGTCTAGGAAGAGGGGTGTGGACTGAGGTTAGACCTCCCAGTCCCAGTCTTGCAGAAAAGGAATAGACTACTTTCTCTCTCTTCTAGGACTTGCCTGAGGTTATGGGGACTGATGAATAGGAAGACAAGGAAAAGGCCATAGTTTTTTCTCGGCCACAGTTGGTAAGAACTCATCTGCTGTTCCCCTTCCCATCATTCTTTAACCCCAGGACCCCTGATACTCCACCCCAACTATGGCCTAGCCCTAAGGGCACCCACGTGTCATGCTCCAGGATTAGCACCAGGCGATGCATGTGCAGCCAGCGCTGCCAAGAATTTGTATCCATGGACAGCACTGGCTTCCAGTAGGCAGCAAACTGGGCATGGGATGAGTCGGAACCACTGGGCTGGAGGGAGAGCACCTGGGGACAGGAAAGACAGCACTATAGGAGCATTTGTGGAGGACCAGGGTACAAACTCCAAACAGCAAACAGAACCATGGGTGGACTCTGTTCAGGGTGTCAGAGACAGCAGTGGTTTGAGGCTACAGCCCAGCTGGAGACGGAGGCAAAAACTGCTTCCACTACGAAGACTAGATTTGGATGACAGCCCAGGGACAGACTGTGTAGCCCTTTAAAGCTGAATCCAGGAGAAGGATGGAACCATGAGCCAAGCTGATGTCACTGACTTGGGAGGAAAGCCACTGAATGGTGGCAGGACTTCATGATGTGGCCACTGCACACTAGCATAAGCCACCTGCTCGTCAGTGTAAGGCTGACAGTAGGGACTGAGTGTGAAGAAAGCACAGGACCAAGGAAGCTGTGGTCTTCAGGAAGTACATAGCTCATGGTGGCTGGTGGTGGATGGACACAGGTGAAGGTGGCCGGGGGAGGCCAGCATATGCCACATGGATATGGGCAACGGCTGCTGGGACTGAGGTACTACCACCTAGATACTGTGCAAGTCTCTGCCTCTGTGCTCTGCTCAGAACAGCCTGTCTCTATAGATCCTCCTTGGGCTTGTGGTTTAGATGCCTCAGATGTGAGAGAGAAATGAATAGATGGTGGTGATCCTGGGCTCCAGATGCTGTGCCAACCCAAGTTATCATGAAATGGGGCTACTATACATCAGAGCCACTCACCGGAGTGGTGGAGCCTGGAGGGATGTAGAAGAGTGGCACTCCGCTCTTGGTGCTGTCAGGAAGCGTGAAATGCTCAGGAACTGAGGAGAAGGACTGAAGGTGGGCAAGCATCTGGTCTGTCTGGTTGATGCTGTAGAATAAGGGCCAGGCCTGAGCCACATCTGACTCTGCTGGGTGCAGATGAGGGGAGCCTCCCGGGGACATGGGACCCTGGACATAAGCCAGGTTCTCAGCGTGATGCTCCCCAGCTCCCGCCTTCACAAATCTGTCCCTCCACACAACAAATGGGGCAGCATTCACCAAGTGGTGACTTCACTGACCTCTGCAGCGTGTTCCAGAAACGTCGGATAACATGGGTACGATACAGTGAGCGAATGGGCTGCCTTAGTGCACAGGACACATCATGCAAAATGTCATAGCCACCTTCCATTGTCACTTCCACTCGTGTTACTCGAGGGCCCTCAAGCTCCAGGGGCCAGGATGCCACAGCCACATACTCAATGCGCATGTTGTGTTTCCACAGCAGCACCAGCTTCACCTCCAACTGGGACCCTCCTGAGGGAGAAGCAGGAGGGCCAGTTAGGAGAAGGCATAGGACTCCAGGCCTGGGATCAAGTCCTATCTGAAACCCCTATCTATCTCATGGAACCTAGCCTTGCCAAAGGTTCCAAGCATGGTCCCACAGATTTTAGGCCCAGAGCTGACCAATTGACACAAACACAAGTCTGTGGAAATAATCTGAAAACCAACCCAAGTTCAGGACCCCACACCAACTCAGTTGGTTCACCTTGGGCAAAAGGAGATGGAACTGGAAAGCCCCATGCTAAGAGAATTAAGTCCTGATGACAATTCAAAACACACTGTCTCAAGCGGTAAGGTCTTCACTGTGACGCTTTCATGTGTAATACATGTGGGTGTTCTCACACACAAATTCTTAAGAGATCTGTGGGATTACGGCAGGGCCAACTTACCTTTGGCCACTGTAACCTCTCGGACACTGTAGCCCTCTCGAAGCCGCACAGACACGGTGCTGACCAAGTCGGCTGGCACCTCCTTCTCAGTGTGCTTCTTCCGGCGCAAGGCAAGGGCAGGGTTGCTGCTTGCAGAGACCAGGTGCTCATTAAAGAGGCGGTGCTGAGAGCCTAGAAGACCAGTGGGGATGAGGAAGGAGAATGGTTATCTGCCAGCTGACTGATCTGTAGGGGGAAGGGGCTATGCTTAAATCACTGTGAGGTAACAGTGCCAGCGAAGCCAGCCCCAGTTACACTTTCAGTCCTCCAGGGGCCCGTAATCTCTGGGCCCATTCTATATTCCCTCCTTCCCACACCCACCTCAGTATGCCTCTCACCACAGTAATATTCAGGGTTCAGTGCTTCCCCGCTGCGCAGGAAGGAATAGAGGAGAAATGCCCGGTGGTAGACTGTCAGGCCCAGGTTGCCCGGCTCTGGCTCAGGACAAGTGGACAGGTAGGAGCCAAAGGTTGCCATTGCGATGAACTTCATTAATTCCACATTGGGCACATGGCCAAAACTGCAGTCATAAGAGTAAACTCCTCCCACCTGGAAAAAGTGAGCAACTGAAGACCTAGCTCCGACAGAGACACAGAAGGAACAACAGAACAGGAAGAGACCGGGCTAGGTGGCTCCTCCCAGTCTCTGGACCACAGAGTGGGAAGCAGGCCAGTCTCCCAGGACAGACCACAGTCTGTCTTTCCTTCCTTGAGCCCTTCTATCTGATGCCCATGCTAACCCGCCACAGCATCCTCTGCCCTTCCTCCTCAACATCTAATAGCCCACCACCTCCTCCACTAAAGGTTTTGGCAACTGCTTCACTGACTTCCTGTCATACTGAGAGACTTCAGCTTATCAGCACTTATCAAACTTTAGGGTGTATAAAAAACATCTGAGGATTTTGTTGAAATGCAGTAGGCCTCTGGGATGGGGCTTGAGATTCTGCATTTCAAACAAGCTTTCTGCTGGTCTGTGGTCTACATTTTGAATACAATGGCTGTAGGTGGGAAATTAGCAAACTACACATACCCTGAGGGCCAAATCTAGTCCATCACCTATTTTTGTGAATAGTTTTATTGGAACACAGCCACATACATTCACTCTGTATTGTCTGGCTGCTTTCACGGTTCAACAGCAGAGCTGAGTAGCTGTGACTGACCAATGGCCCACAAAGCTTAAAGATTAAGTGGTGTTTGCAGAAAGTGTTTGCAGGTCTGCTCCAGATGACCCATTCAAGTCCCTGCCCTCTCAGTTCCTTAACTCTCATCTCCAGTACTTTCTCTATTCTACTCACTTGCTTGTAGGCTACACACTGGCCCTCGGCCATTTGGAACGAATTCATTTTTGCAATTTAATATTGCCACATCCCACCGATTACAAACAGCACTACCTCCTTAGCTTCCTTCTACCCTCCTCCTCCTGCTGCTGCTCTTTGACCTCACTGAGACTGTCAGGCCTTGAACATCTGCCCTCTCCAAATCTATCCACATTGTCCTCACCCTCCTTTCTCTACCCAGCCTGGAACCTACGATGAGGCAACTTCATAAGCATCACTCTCAAATCCCTGCCCTCTTCACTCTCTTCTGCTTCTTTGAAACCCCAACTAGGATCACAGCCTCTATTCTTGGCCAATGGCGCCCAAACTGACAACTGTGTAAGCTGCCACCACATCAAAACATATGACACCTAACTCAGCTAGTCCTTCAAGGCAGTCCTCAATACTGTTTCCTCTTTCCAACTCTGGCCTCTCTTCATTATAGTACTTGACTTCACCTTTTACCTCAGAGAGAAATTGGAGGCCCTTCGCATAATTGATCTATAACTTCCCTTCCATCATCTGGTTTCAAAGAAAGGACACTTCCCTGCTCCAAAAGAATCCCTCAATCTGTTTCTTAAGCCAATGCACTCCTGTCAATTTAGAAACATTACTCCACCAGGCTCTCTTTTCCTTCCCTTATTTTCAAACTCTTCTTCACTATAGATCCTTAGAAACATGCTTAAGTTTCCAGCTTTAAAAAACAAAACAAAACACTCTTTTACCCTGTACTTCCCTCTGGATACCATTCTCTCTCTTGCACTGCTCTTGATCTCAACAGCCAAATTTCTTGTGTCAACACTTGTCCCTATTTCCTTCTCTTCTAGCCACTCTTCACTCCCCTCACCACCTCTTCACTAAAATGGCTCTGAAACAGATCCCCATGACCTCCTAATCACCAAATCCAAAGGGCACTTTTCGTTCTTCATTTTATTTAATCTTTCTACATTCTCACAATGTAGTTGTAAGAACTACATTCTACCAATATAGTTACCATGGTGAGAGGCGGCAGAAGGATCAAGTAAATTTTCTTCCAAAAATTCTGACTTCTCCGACACCAGAATCTCCTGGTTCCTGCCTGATTCTTCATTCCTTGCTGGGCTCTTTTCCTATGAAAGACCTTGAACACTGGTGTTCCCCAAAGTTCTTCCAGGACCCTCTTCTGTTCTCAGTTACCCTATGAAGCCTGACAAATCCTAAATCTCTACCTCTCAAACAGGGTTTGTCTCCTGAGTATCAGGATCTGTGTATTCAACTGCTACCTGCTACAAATAGCAGCCATTTATTAAATGATTATGCACAATGTTACGTACTTTAAATGCATCTCACCTCCCAGTGAGATAGGTACTTTTACAATCTCCATTTACAAATGAATCTGACCTAGAGGTGAAGCAATGTGCCCAATGTCACACAGTTAATAAATGGCAGTCAGGATTTAGACCAGCATGCCTAACTCCAAAGGTGATGTTCTTAACTACCTATGTTGAATCACAGGCATCTCTAACACAACATGTGCAAACCTGCATCCATCATCTTATCCTCACTCTACCACAACTGCTTCTCTTCCTTTTGCTTTGCCTGCTACCCAGTCATCACTGGAGTCAGAGACTTAGAGACATCTTTAAGCCCTCTTCTCTCTCATCTCCTACCCACATCTTGCTAATTATGAAGTCAGGTTGACTCTGCCTCTTCAGTTTTCTTAATCCTCTTACCTCAGATTTAAGCCCTGATCCTCCCTCACTGCAATTAATAGCCTCCCGACTTCCCCCCCAACCCCCGCCCAGGCTCCGCCATCCTTCACTCAGCAGCACAAGTGACCTTTATAAAACATAAACCCAACTAATAACTTTCCTTCTATCTATCTGCATCACCCACAGAATTATGCTTAACCTCATTAATACAGCAGACCAGATTTTCATCTTCTGGCCTGTGCCTACCCCCCCAGCCTTGCTTCCCATAGCTCTTTACCTCCTTCCCTACAGTCCATCAATTCAAATCAGCTGCAATCCCCTGACTATACCTTTTCCCTCTTTGCTTAAGCTAGTTTGAGCTGGGTTTTCTGACCCTTGCACTCAAAACAATAAGGACTAATCTACTGGGGGAAGGTGGGACTGGAAATGACTGTGAGATTTCAAATTCTGCGTTCTTTCTGCTTTAACAGCTATTTCCCAAATCCTAAGGAAAGAGGAAAAAAATGAGAGTCCTCTCCCACTACTGCCACCTACCTTCTAGACATGACTTCTTCCCGCTGACATAACTAAGCAATTGACTTTACCTGGGAAATCACCACCTGTGAGAAAGTAATCAGCCATCCCAACTTTGTGAGATACTCTATTTCTCTCTCCTCCTTCCTAAAAAGTCCTCACCTGCACAAAGGAACAAGCCACGGTGCCACTGCGAAGCTGGTTCAGCAGCGTCTCACAGACAGCTACATCAGGGACACTGGTCACCCCATCTGTGATCACAATAATCCCTGGGGCAGGAAACACCAGATCAGACCTAGAGACACTGACCGAAGTTACAGGGAGGCACCCAACTGACAGGGCCCTCCCTGAAGGGCTCAGTGTCTGCCCACCAATGTGTTTTGTGAACTTCAAACACCTTTCCTTCTCCTTTACCCTCCCTGTTTCTTCCTCATGAGTGCCAGATCATAACCTTCCTTAAGTGATGTCCTTGGAGCTCTACTCCTTCTAGGGTCCCTGATAGTTGTCAGAGTTGAGGGTTCCTGAACTATACACTAATACAGATTTACATTTTGCAAACAAGGAAACAGATTCTTTTCCCTGGGACCCACTGATTCCCTGGAACCGCTATCTTTGTTAATAGCGCCACCCTTCCTGTATCCCTGCTTCCCCAGTCCCACCAATATTCCTTCTACTGACCTGCACTAGAGTTTGAGGGTAGTAATTGCAGCGCCAAGATGCCCTGACGAATCATACTGACCAGCCCAAGATCAGCTGTCACCATGGAGACGCCTACCTTCCGGCCCAGTGGTTCCCCTGCATCTGGGGACTGGTCTTCTGCCTGGCCCCACGTTAAAGAAAAGACAGAATGGGACAGATGGCGCTGCAGCCCCATCCATGGCAAAGCCAGAATTTACAACCCAGCACTTCTCAGGCCAGAGAGCCAGAATCCTGTGAGGACCCCAATTCCCATACAACGAGGCTAAGTCTTGACTGTGCTCCCTCCCCGTGTGTGCTCAGATACTGAACCTTAGAGGCGAAGGGAGTTCGGCACCAGACTGTACTGAAGTGGGCCTTCTCCATCTTTTGCCAATAAGGGCCACTTTCCATATTTTTCCATCACTGTTATGAAATATTTTATACCTCTGTCAAATTACATGACCAGTTATCAGGCACACAGAACTGCCATTTTCCTGGCTACTTCTAGGGTACCCAAAGTAATAAGACAGGGAAGTCTAGTGGGCCCAAGCAGCTTTATCCCTGATTGTACAAAATGATAACTAGAGGTCAAAGCCACCCATGAATCACCTCAGATCCAGTGGTGAAGAGCTGGGGCTAAAAAATGCAAACAAATGGCTTTTACATTTTCTCACTGAAAGAATCTGTGTTTTGGGGAGTATATCTGAGTTCTGATCCAACAGGGAGCATGTCATGAGCATGCCTATCCTTGGCTCACTCTGCGCCAGCTCTTAGCCCTTTTCTGCCCTATTTGGACTATCTCTTCTCTCTGCCTTCTGTCCTTAGCTGCTCCTCTTTCTAAGTTGCCTTTGCCCACTTTCTCTCTTACATACCTGGCTCTGAGGATCATACTGCTGCTGCAGCATAGTGGCCACCTTATCCTCGAAGAGGCAGAGCTGCTCATATATCTGCTGTAGGAACACCTCCTGCTGGGAAGGGTTCAAGAGGCAGCCCTGCACCAGCACCTAAGACGCACAAGGAAGACTGAGACAGGGCAGTCAGGGGTGCACAGAACACTACACTTCTGCTCTGCTTATTCTCCATAGCTCCATCTAGGTGATCCTGACTTCCTAACCAACCAGTATCTAAGGTATGACTCCACAGCCAATTCCTCCTTATCTGATCTCTTCCATCAGTTCTCAGCCTAGGTCCCCAGCCATTAGTCATCTTTATCTGGGGTCACAACTTCCCTCTGCTTAGGGTCCTCCACACTGGGTTTCCCCAACCTCCCACATGGGGGCACCATAAGATCTTCTATTAATAGATTTTTCTATCTTGGCCTATAGGATGTCTTATAAACTGCCCCTCCCCAGCCTAGCAAAACCTTTTGTATTATCATATTTTGTAATGCTTTTTTATTTCTAAGCATACTGTACACAGAGGCTATTCTGGACCTTTTCTCTTTTTATTAAATTTAAAAATTTTGTGGGTACATATAAGGTATATATATTTATGAGGGACATGGGGTATTTTGATACAGGCATACAATGTATAATAATTACGTGATGGTAAGTGGGGTATCCACTTCAAGCTTTTTTTTTTTTTTTTTTTGAGACACAGTCTTGCTCTGTTGCCCACGCTGGAATGCAGTGGTGCAATCTTGGCTCACTGCAACCTCCACCTCCCAGGTTCAAGCGATTCTTGTGCCTAAGCCTCCCTCAGCTGAGATTACAGGCATAGGCCACCACACCCGGCTAATTTTTGTATTTTTAGTAGAGATGGGGTTTTCACTATGTTGGCCAGGCTGGTCTTGAACTCCTGGCCTCAAGTGATCCAACCATCTCGGCCTCCCGAAGTGCTGGGATTATAGGCATGAGCCACCATGCTAGCCCGCCTCAAGCATTTATCCTTTTTTTGTGTAACAAACAATCCAATCTTTTATTTTTAAATGTACAGTAAATTACTGTTGACGGTAGTCACTCTACTGTACTATCAAGTACTAGATCTTACTCATTCTATTTTTGTATCCATTAACCATCTCCCCTTCTACCTCCCCCAACTACCCTTCCCAGTCTTTGGTAACCATTGCTCTACTCTCCATCTCCATAAGTTCACCTGTTTTAATTTTTAGCTTCCACAAGAAAGAACATGCCAAGTTTGTCTTTCTGTGCCTGACTTATTTCACTTAACATAATGTCCTCCAGTTCCATCCATGTTGCAGCATATAACAGGATCACATTCTCTTTTATGGCTGAATAGTACTCCATTGTGCACAGGTACCACATTTTCTTCATCCATTCATCTGTCAATGAACACTTAGGTTGCTTCCAGATCTTGTCTACTGTGAATAGTGCTGTAATAAACATGGGAGTGCAGATATTTCTTCCATATACTGATTTCCTTTCTTTTGGGTATATACCTAGAGAGGGATTGTTAGGTCATATAATAGCTCTATTTTCAGTTTTTTTGCGGCACCTCCAAACTATTCTCCACAGTGGTTTTACGAATTTACATTTCTACCAACAGTGTACAAGATTACCTCTTCTCCACATCCTTACCAGCATTTATTGCCTGTCTTTTGGATAAAAGCCATTTGAACTGGGGTGAGATGATATCTCATTGTAGTTTTGATCTGCATTTCTCTGATGATCAGTGATGCTGAGCACCTTTTCATATACCTGTTTGCCATATGCATGCCTTCTTTCGAGAAATGTCTGAGATTTTAAGAAATAAATCCTATTTTAAAATCAAATTATTAGTTTTTTTTTCTTATAGAGTTGTTTGAGCTCCTTATATATTCTGGTTATCAATCCGGTCAGATAGGTAGCTTGCAAATATTTTCTCCCATTCTGTGGGTTGTTTCCTCACTTGTTGATTGTTTCCTTTGCTATGCAGGTTTTTGATATGATGTGATCCTATTTGTCCATTTTTGCCTAGTCCAGTGTCATGGAACATTTCTCCAATGTTTTCCCTTAGTAGTTTTATAGTTTGAGATTTAAGGTTTTTTTTTTTTTTGAGGCAGAGTCTCACTCTGTTGCCAGGTGCTAGGCTGGAGTGCAGTGTCACAATCTCGGCTTACTGCAACCTCCGCCTCCTGGGTTCAAGCAATTCTCCTGCCTCAGCCTCCCGAGTAGCTGGGACTACAGGTGTGTGCCACCGCGCCCAGCTAATTTTTTTATTTTTTAGTAGAGACGGGGTTTCACCATGTTGGCCAGGATGGTTTCAATATCTTGACCTCATGATCTGCCCACCTCCCAAAGTCCTGGGATTATAGGCATGAGCCACTGAGCCCAGCCGAGATTTAAGTCTTTAATGCATTTTTATTTTTGTGAGATAGGGGTCTAGTTTCATTCTTCTGCATGTGAATGAAATCCAGTTTTCCTAAAACCATTTATTGAAGAGACTGTTCTTTCCCCAGTGTATATGTTCTTAGCATCTTTGTCGAAAATGAGTTCACTGTAGATAGACAGTCTCTGGGTTCTCTATTCTATTCCATTGGTCTGTGCGTCTGTTTTTGTGCCACTATTATGCTGGTTTTGGTTACCATAGCTCTGTAGTATAATTTGAAGTCAGGTAATGTGATTCCTCTAGTTTTATTGGTTTTGCTCAGAACAGCTTTGGCTATTCCAGGTCTTTTGTGGTTCCATATAAATTTTAGGTTTGTTTTCTCTATTTCTAGGAAGAATGTTTTTGGTATTTTGATAGGGATTGTATGGAATCTGTAGACTGCTTTAGGTAGTGTGGGCATTTTAACAATATTGATTCTTCCAATCCATGAACATGGAATAACTTTCCATTTTTTAGAGTCCACTTCAATTTCTCTCATTGATGTTTTACAATTTTCATTGTAGAGATATTTCATTTCTTTGGTTAAATTAATTTTTAGCTTTTGTAAATGGGATTACTTTCTTGGTTTATTTTTCAGATTGTTTGCTGCTGGCATATAGAAATGCTAATGTTTTTTATACGTTGATTATGTATCCTGCAACTTTACTGAATTTATCAGTTCTAAGTTTTTGGTAGAGCCATTAGGTTTTTCCAAATAAAAGATCATATCATCTGCAAACAAGGATAATTTGACTTCTTCTTTTCCAATTTGGATGCCCTTCATTTCTTTCTCTTATCTGACTGTTTTAGGTAGAATTTCCTTTTTCTCTTTTTTAAGCTCAAAATCCTATTCTTATCCCCCTAATGAATGCTTCTTCCTTCCCTTTACCCTCAGCAGATAACTCCCACCCTGTGCCCTCTTAAAGAGAAAGGAAGCCAGTCAATAGAACTCCCTGCTTACTCCAACCTGGAGTGTACACAACTCTCCAACTCTCTGAAAGCACCCCCAAGGTCTGTTCAGTGTTTACATCTATGTCTTTGTTCTTCCTTCGAGGTGCTGGAGAAAGGATTCTTCTTCCTCCTCTTTTTACCTGTAGCTAATCTATCCATCTAATCTTGAGCCTTTCGTCTCTCTAGTATCGTCATTCTTTCTTCATGGGCTTCTTTTCTTCTACTTCA